CTTAGACATTGATGTAGTTTCAAACCTTTATTTGCTCATGTATTTCCTTAACACTCTAGCTATACAACCAAAACATAACGTTCCGAATACATTACAACTCAGAGAGGGGCTGGATACTCCTCCCCTCACTAAAGGGGAGGGGAAAGGGCGCTGGTACTTACCTGATACGCCTATTCTCATAGTGGGGGAGGAGTATCCAGCCCCTCTCTGAGTTGTAATGTATTCGGAACGTTATGTTTTGGTTGTATAGCTAGAGTGTTAAGGAAATACATGAGCAAATAAAGGTTTGAAACTACATCAATGTCTAAGAGTGGATGACACATCAAGTCTGATAGAGTTCTTCATTGAAACTGGGTATTACCTGGCGACTAGGGCGTGGTCTAAAGAGCTTATCAGACTCAGTCCAATCAATGAGGACGAAGTTAACCCATCCTGGATACTTCTCCCCCACTAAGAGAATAGGCATATCAGGTACCATCACCCTTTTCCATGGTTATGTGGCGAGCATGACTAGGCTGAAGTGCACAGAACACTGTTACCTTCCTGCTGAAGTGCTACCTATTTATCTACTTGAATTTGCATTCTTTCAAACTAGGTGGGCAGGAACTAGGGTCAGCTTTCCAGGTGACAAGCTCAACATCTTCAACTACTGAGCCATTGTGCCCCACTTTTGAAAACCTTATATTGAAAATAATTGTTAGCTAAAAAAATTAGTGTTTTAACTAATTTATATGAGGATCTTAATTTTGTTGGCTTTATTTAATGGTCTTTTCAAAGAGTTTCCAGCATTTAGGTGGCTTAGCTTCCATTACTGCTGAGTATTGCATTGTTTGAAATTCTACTCTCTGAACTATGCTATTAAACACTGTGCTTTTTTGTTTCATTTATGCTTACCTAGCAAAACAGATGGATATATTCCATTTGAATAAACTCTGTGCCAAAATTCCATGCTGGGTTTTCAAAATGTATTCCCAGCCAAGTTGCATCTATTGTCCTTTCTTTGTACAGTTCTGTTTCCGAGAACAGCTTTTGAAAGAATTTGTCTGTTTCTGGCAAGGACTGATAGAAAAAGAACAGGAAATTGAGGTTAGGAATAGGAGATTCGGAGGGGAAAATCAAAGAACTTTGGATAGATCTGAACCTCTTTTTCCTTATCATTAGAGTGCATTCTGCCTACTTGTAAAAAACTGCTCAAACATAGGAGTGTGTATGGAAGTTCTATTTCCCTACAATTCCCATCAACTTTTCTTTGATTCTTTAGCTGAGCAATTTGTGAAGAGGCACATACCCACTTTGATGTAGTAGCTCTCTGTTGCCCACAGGGAGAGTTACATAATCCTATTTCAACTGAACACTGTGTGTGGCTAAAAAATTTGCCCTGGGTCAGAACAAAAGCTAAACAAATTTAACTTACCGTATTTTTTGGAGTATAAGATGAACCTTTTTCCCTCAAAAAAGAGGGCGAAAATCTGGGTGTGTCTTATACATCGAATACAGCATTTTTTGCCTCTCAAAACCCCTCCCCCTTCACGAAAATGGCCATGCATAGCATTTAGGAAGCTTTCAGAATGCTCTTGGGTGCTGGGGAGGGCAGAAATGAGTGAAAAACGGGCTGTTTTTTGCTCAATTCCGCCCGCCCCCCTCCCCAGCCCCAGGAGCAGTCTATAAGCCTCCTAAAGGATATGCATGCCCCCCCTTTTTTAAAAAAGGG